ATATCTTGGTTTGGGAAAGACATCAAGCTTGGTAAAGTAGAGGGGCAGCAAAACAGAGCAGGGACCTCAACAACATGGGCTGACACAGTGGCTGCAACTATAGGCTCAAGTACAGGAACAATTATGAGGATGACAAAGGACTGACCAGTGTTTGGTCCGGCTATGTTACAGTTGCTGTGGGTTGGAATCAACTCAATGGCACCTGACAACAATAGCAAGAGATATTTTTCCAGAAATACTTTAAGAAGTCTTTTTTTAATGTGACAATTCTGTATAGCACATTCTTCATTTTATCTAATTTTCTTTCCTTTACAAACATATAGCTACTTTTATATTTTTCACTGTTGATATACCGTTTATATGTTCCTTTTTTATTAATCATCTATATGCCATTTTACATTCTATATGCCCCTTTCCCCCATTTTTATATGCCCTTTTCCACAACTTGTCTATTAGATCTCCTACACTGTGGGTTTGTGTGTTGCTGTGATGCTGGAAGCTATGTCATTGGTATTTCAAATGCCATCAGGGTCACCAAAGTGAAGAAGTTTCAGCCGGTCTTCCAGATTAAGTACAGAAAACTAAGAATGAACCAACTGCCCAGTTTAGAAGAAGTAGCCACTGAAACCTTATGCGTAGCTCGGAAACATTGTCAGATAGTGAAGTCCTAATGAACGGAAGCCGGACATTGTCAGAGAAAGTGCCAGAAGATGGGCCCTTATGCTTGGAGTGTATTTGACATGTGACTAAGAAGAAGCTGAATCGCCTGGGGTCTTAAAGGCTTGAAAAAAAAAAAGCAACCATCTAGCTGAGAAGCAACAAAGCCCACATGGAAGAAGCACACCAGCCTGTGTGATCACAAGGTGTCAATGGGATCAGGTATCAGGCATCAAAGACCCAGAACAAAAAGTCATATCATTGTGAATGAGGGGGAGTGCAAAGTAGAGACCCAAAGCCCATTTGTAGACAATTGGACATCCCATTACAGAAGGGTCACAAGGAAGAGAAGAGTCAGTCAGGGTGTATAGCAGGGTGTATAGAAGAGTCAGTATAGCACCGATGAAACATACAACCTTCCTCTAGTTCTTTAATTCTTCTACCCCCCACTATCATGACCACAATTCTACCTTACAAATCTGGCTAGACCAGAGCATGTATACTGGTACAGATCAGAGCTGAAAACACAGGGAATCCAGGACAGATAAACTCCCTAGGACCAATAATGAGAGTAGCGATCCCAGGAGAGGAAGGGGAAAGTCGGGGGAGAAAGGGGGAACTGATTACAATGATCTAATATAACCCCCTCCCAGGGGATGGACAACAGAAAAGTGGGTGAAGTGAGATAGAAGTCAGTGTATGACATGAAAAAAAATTGTAAATTATCAAGGGTCTATCAGGGAGGGAGGTGAGGGGAGGGGAAAAATGAGGAGCTGATACCAAGGGCTCAAGTAGAAAGCAAATGCTTTGAAAATGATGGCAACATATGTACAAATGTGCTTGACAATGGATGTATATGTGGATTATGATAAGAGTTGTACGGGACCCCAATTAGATGATTTTTAAAAAATCTGCTAGTGATCAGAACTTAGAATGTGTGAACTATGAATCTAGGAAAAATGGAAGTCTTCCAAATCAGAATGAAACCCAGAGATATCAATATTCCAGGCACTAGTAAGCTGAAATACACTAGGGTTGGCCATTTTGAATCAGAAAATCAAATTACCTACTATGCTGGGAATAACACAATCACAAAGAATGGTGTGGCTTTCATTGTCAAAAGGAACGCCGCAAAATCAATCATGAAGTACAATGTTGTCTGCGATAGGTTTCTATCTCTCTCCCTTCAAGGAAATCCAATCAATACAACTATTATTCAAATGTATGCACCAACCACAAAAGCTAGTGGTGAATAATGGACAAATTCTACCAATGACTTCAGCATGAAATTATCAAACATGCAGCTATGATGCATTGATAATTATTGATGACTGCAATGCAAAAATTGGAAACAAAGAGAAATAAATAGTAATTGGAAAATACATAGTTGGTAGTAGAAATAAAGCTGGACATCGCATGATAACTTATTCATTGCGGTACCTTTTAAATAACAAAAAAAGTGCCTATACACATAGACTTATCCAGATGGGATACACAGAAATCAAATTGACTACATTTGTGGGAAGAGACTATGGAGAAGCTCAATATCAGTAGCTAAAACCAGGTCAAGGCCTAAGTGTGGAACAGATCATTGATTGCCCATATGCAAGTTCAAGATAAAGCTGGAGAAAGTTACAAGTCAATGGGTTTCAAAATACAACCCGAGTCTATCCCACATGAATTTAGAGAATATCTCAAGAACAGATTTGACACATTAAAAACTAATGACAAAAGACCTGGTGGTTATCAAGTACATCTAATCTACGAAGAAAACAAAAGATCATTAAAAATACAAGAAAGAAAGAAAAAGATCAAAGTGGATGTCAGAAGAGACACTGAAACTTGCTCTTAATCATAAAGTAATCTGGTAGTTAGATAATTTTATGTCAACTTGAAGATTTTATGAAAGGATATGAAAGATGTATGAAAGAGTAAGGGTAGCGTGGGTGGACGTATGAAAATGTAGGGGTAGAGAGGGGTAGAGTCAAACCTGTCAATCAAGTTGCAGCCTGATGACTCCTTGATGGTATACGAGTGTGAGACCTTGGGAACTTATTATCTCTCTCATTTTCACCTTTCTGCTTGCTGGCCACCCAGAACCCTGCCATATTTTCCATTGACCTTGGACCCCAAGACCCTAGCCACTAGGCTGTGATCTTCCTGCATTCAGCATCATTGGACGCAGCTTCAAGAGTCTGAAGAGGACCTATGGACTTGCATTGGACTGAAGGATGTGAGATGGACTGGGTTATAAGGTTTTATTGATATGTAGTTATTTCTTGATTGATACAAAACATTTTCTTACAGTTATGTTAGTGTCAATGGAATTGTTGCTCTAGTCAACCCAGCCTAACACAAGTAGCTAAAGCTAATGGAAGAAATGAAGTCAAAACAGCTGAATAGAAGATTTCAAAAGGCAGCCAGAGAAAACAAAGCCGAATGTTACAATTAAATGGCAAAACCTAGAGTTAAAAAAACCAGAAAAGTAGAACACACTCAGTATATCTTAAGCTGAAAGGATTTTTTTAAAATTCAAGCCTTGATTTGCACTATTGAAAGATTGTAAGGGCAAAATACTAAATGACACAGAAAACATCAGAGGAAAGTGGAAGAATACACAGAGCCACCCTACCAAAAAGAACTAGTCGACATTAAACCAGTTTAATAGGTAGCTCATGAGCATGGATCAATGGTGCTGAAGGAAGGATTTCAAACGGAACTAAAAACATTACAAAAAACAAAGCTGCCGGAATTGATTGAACACCTAGTCGTTTCAATGTTGTTGAAGTGGTTCAACCATCTGATGAAGCACTGGAAGCACTCACTTGTCTATGCCAGGATATTTGGAAGACAGCCACTGGCTGAACGAGATACATATTAGTACCCATTCCATGTGATGTGACCCACGTGAATGTGGAAATTATAGAACAATATCATTGATATCATAAGGAAATTTGCTCAAGATCACTTAACAATGATTGCAGCAGTACTTTGAAAGTGAGCCAGAAGTTCAGGCTTGGTTCAGAAAAGGACATGAAACACAAGACAACATTGCTGATGTCAGATGGCTCTTGCCTAAAAGAAGAGAATACTAGAGAGATGTTTATATGTATTTTATTGGCCATGCCAAGGCATTCAATTGTGGGGATCCTAACAAACTATTGATCACCTTGTGAAGAATGGGCATTGCACAATACTTCATCCTACTCATGTGTAATTTGTGTGTGAATCAAGAAGTGGTTGTACAAACAGAACAGGGGATATTACATGGTTTAAAAATAGGAAAGGTTTACATAAGGGTTGTATCCTCTCACCATACTTCTTTAATCTGTGTACTAAGTAAATAATTAAAGGAGCATTTTTATATTAAGAAGAATGGGACATTCTGATTCTTATTAACCAGAAATATGCAGATGACCCAACTGTGCTTGCTAAACGTGTGGAGAACTTGAAACACAGATGAAGGCCAGGATTGCAGCCTTTAGTATGAATTACAACTCAATGTCAAGAGTATCCAAATCCTCAAAACTAGACCGATACGTAGCATCATGATAAATGGATACAACACTGAAGTTGTCAAGGATTTCAGCTGTCCTAGAGCCACAATCAATGCTCCTGGAAGCCACAGCCAGGAGATAAAACTAAGCATTTCATTGGGTAAATATACTTCACAAAACCTTCTTAAAGTGCTGAAAACGAAGGAGTTTACTTTCAGGACTAAGGTATGCCTCTCCCAAGTCAGGGCATTGTCAATTTCCTTATATGCATCTGAAAATTGGACATTGAATAAGGAAGACTGAAAAGGAATCTATGCCTTTGAGTCATCATTCTGGAGAAGAATATTGACAGTTCCACAACTGCCAAACAAACCAATGACTCCGACTTGGAAGAAGGCCAGCCAGATACTCTTGGAAGCAAGGGTGCTGAGACCAGTGGCCAGAGAAGTGATCACACTGTATAAAGTAGAGGGACAGTGACAAAAGGAAGACCCTCAACTAGATGGGTGGGTTAGCCAATGGGCTCAAAGACGAAAAACAACCGTGGCAGGCGCGGCTCAAGACAGCACAGGGTTTTGCGCTGTTGTACACAGTGTTGCTGTGAGTCGGAACCTACTCGATGACACCTAACAGCAGAATAAAACGAGGCATTGAGCCTATGAGGGGAAAAATCATAAGCAATTTTGTATTTTGAATTTATAAAGAACTTATGTTTCCATGGCTAGCAAGGGACAAGATCCCTAGCTTCATAATGCAAAGAAATACCATATTTGTAAATAATAAAATATCATCTATTAATGTATATATCCTTCTCTAGCAGTCATTGCCTGGCACATTATACCATACCATAAGGACACTTCCTCCATAGTTTCTGTCACACATCTTCCCTTGGTAGGTTGCACCAATATAATTTATGTTTTCTCTGTAACTTAAGTAAAAAAAAGAAAAGGAAAGAAAAATCAGAATCATAAAATTTCATAAACCAAGAACAATCACGACAGATTTTCCCAAGATGATTTAAGAAACTGCATATTTATAGTAATATAAAAGATATTTCCACATAATAATATAGGCAAATAATAGGGAGTGAAAGACATGCAGTTTCTTTGGAAATGATATAATAGATTTAAAAATAAAATCAGGAAGTATGCTTTCATATGAACCTTGAAACAATGAAGATTAATTTTTCTGTATATTGCTACAGCTAAATATATAAATTCAAAATGATTAATAAAAGCCTTTAAAATTAGAAACCTATGGAAATGCAGCTGATAACTCAATAGATGGCCCCTATCTGCTAAATTATCTCTTTAATCATGAAGCATTATCCAGCCAGAACTTTATGAATGTATGACATATTGTAGGACAGGTAATAAGAAGGATAACATGCACAACACACACATTCACACACATAGAGAAGAGGAAGTAAAAAAAATACTAGTAAAAAAATCATAGAAACCTTCAGTAAACAAAAATATCCAAATGTGAAGTAGTTGTTTATCAATATAGCCTCCAGGTAGGTCTCTGCACTTCTAAGGCACTGACATTTCCTTGAAGAATTTTGTGCTGTACATCACATTGAAATGTCAGTTTGGGCATCCCTCAGGGACTAACGTCATAATACTTTTATGTGTTATCTGACGGGGCAAGAAGAGACTTGTAGGATAGGTAGGGTAAGGTTGCCCAGTGACATTCTCAAAGGACTTGCTGTCCTTGAAAAATAAGCAGGTGCATTATTGTGATGGGGAATAAAACTCCTTGGTGCATATTTGCTGTCCTTTCCCTCACTCATGCAGCTTACAATTTTCTTTAACTTTTCATAATAAGCTTCTATGATTAGTGTGCTTTTTGGAAAAAAATATATCAAGATTATCTCCCTGGACTCCAAAAAAGCAGCTACTGTGCTTCCTGAGATGATCTCTCTGCCTTGAGTTCATTTTTGTGGTCTTCTCAATCTTCCTTAAAATATTTCACCCATCTAAACAGTATTGTGTTATATGGCAGAGCATTATCATAAATGTATTGCAAAGCTTCAATGTTTCAGGAAGATGTCCAGTTCAATTTTGTAAATATTTTGATATTAAATCTGAACTCAAAATTGTTTTTCCATGCCACAAAATTATCTTAGTTGTTGTTGTCGTTGACACCTTAAGGGTACTAAGAAAATTCATAATTGGGAGAACTTGTCTGTAGCCATCTACTGGTTGCAGAACTATTCTTATAAAAAAATCACTTATAAAATTAAATCCACTTTATTTGGAATAATCCCATATATCTATGCCTTAAAACCCTGGTAGCAATACTTTTTGATGTATCCTGGCCATCAATATGGATATATGTATATACACACATATCTATTAACTCGCCCTTGTGTTATAGTTATAGTATACTAATAAAAACAAACTCACTGCCATAAAGTAATTCTGACTCAGGGCACCCCTGTACGTCACAGCACAATTGCTGCTTTGGGGTTCCAAGGTTGTACGTTTTCACAGAAGCAGAAAGCTTCGCCTTTCTCCTGTGGAGCCGCAGATACGTTGACATTTGTACTGCCGACCTTCTCGTGAGCAGCCCAGCTCGTGTACCACTATGGCGCCAAGGCTCTTTCATACAGTATACGAACATATCAAACTAAAATACGGCCTGAGAAAAAGATACAGCCTGAATATTGCTAATAGGAAAACCATATAAAGACCAGACTTACATGGTCTGTTAGTGACTGGTGGAACCCCTGAGGCTGTGGCCTTTAACTCCCCTTTGGACCTGACACCAAACCCCCACTCGGCCCGAAGGTCATCGTGCAGCCAAACAACAAGCAAGCCTATAGGTGAACAATGAGACTCCTGAGGAACGTACTCTGAAGAATTATGCTCTCTCTGAGGGCAGATGCCAAGCTCAGATGGCCAAAAATTGCCAGAAAGGACCAATGGCTATAAGGAACCCAGGGATGAGTCAGCAATAGTGCCACTGTATTAAGAATTACAAATAATGCGAAACAAAGATGATTGTTATAAGTTGTTCAATGAAAATGAATTGTCTGTAAACTCTGACTCAACCCAGAATTTTTAAAATAGAATTCAAGAATATTCCTTCAGATAGATTTTTCTAGTTTTATAGCTAGCTAGGAGCATGTGGTACAAGTCTGAGAGTGAGCAGAGACTATTCACCAATAAATAAAACTACAGCAATCATTTTATGAAACTATTTTGAAAAAAATAATATTCACACTGCTATACTTCAGAAAACAAATGGCACATGATATACATCTCCCAAGATTATCAACAATCAGAAATCAGAAAACAGATAATAAATGTTTTCTTTATTAAGCTTTCTCAATGCCAAGATATTATACTTACAGAAGAAAAAATGCCATATCATGTGGTCGCAAAACAAGGAAAGATTGTTTCCATATTAAAAATCTGTTTAAGATTTCATTAGCATCTCCAGTAGTGGAAATTTTATTTTCATCTATCCAAAACTCAAGTGAAGAGAGAATTATCGTAACATTAAATGAAGTAAACATCTAAAATAGAACATACATGAAAAATATGTTGAACCATTATGATTTTAGGAGTTTTGGAAATATTCACAAATATGAACATTATATTGATAAAAATATTTAGCCTCTAGGCTATAGGTTAGCCTGAGTTTTTAGAACATCTTAATAAGTTTAAATGTACCACAGAAAATACAAATTATCTTAAAAAATTTTTAATGATTGCACTTAAGCCAATATTGTGCTAAATGTTTTACATCGTTAAGACAATGCAACTTAATTTAATACCTGGTATTATAATTTCAGTTTTACAAATTTCCTCAAGTTCATGAAAGAATGATATTCAGGTAATGTCATAAAATAAACTATAATCATTGTTAAAGTACTGCAAACAAATGCAAAGTATTAAGACGCAAATACTTACTGCATTGGTCAGTCCAATCAACTCAAACATTTTTTCTGTGACAACACCTGAATCAGCACCCATGTGATTATACTGAAAAAGATA